TCCATCACACATGTACCATTTTACATATGCACAACCCATCGGAATTGAATCATCGATCGTCTTTGAAGGCCATTTTAGCGCCAAAAACACAAAAATCGATTTTATTTTCGAAGAGCTCAACAGAATATTTTCATTTTAGGCTTAAATGACTGTGTAAGCATCCTACTTCAAGATCCCGAAGGAATTTTGAGTGGGCAACACAATTTCATTTACCTCCCTCTGAAACAAACCGTGCATTGTTATCAAATTTCTACATTTTCAGCATTCAGCTACATAAGATCCCCTTGAGATTTTTTACTTGAAACTTTAGGGGAGTGCGCAAAGCAAATTTCCTTACCTTATTTCATCTGAGCTGCCTGTGCGGTTTGACTTTGAAATGCAGGAGTCTGGCGGTGGTTTTACCTCAATAGTTTTGGAGTCTATCAGTCTAAAATTTTCTTCCTGTAGAATTAGAAAAAAAAAATACAAATAAATACGGTTCAAAAAGGCCAACATAACATTTTACTCAATTTTCAAAAGAGAAAATAGATATACATGAGAAGCTTTGAGGCAAGGCTAACTGTGGGTACAAAGTAAGTAACTGTTAAAAATTTTGTCACAAGTTCTTGCCATTCTGCTCCAATGTATGACAGAATGTGCATTGAAGAGGGTCTTTCATATTTATATGTTTTCATAAGGAGTAGAGTCTGCGCTGAATAAATTAATGTATCTTCCAACTTTCAATTTGAGAGAGGGAGATTTTCAGGGTATGTAATGGTTACAGTGAACGTTTGTTTATAAAGCTAATAATGAGACCGAAGCTAAGTAACATAACTACATTTAAAAATTTGATATTGATAAATTAAAAGAATAGGGTGGCTACAGGCTGAGCACACAGAAATTTTGACTTTTCCAGGTATTTTCTGAACCAAATGGTCAAAATTCCCTGACTTTTCATACAAACAATATGCAAGTGTAGAACTGAGAATGAACAATTTTTTGGATAAGGTAATTTTACTGCTAATGCCAAAAACGTGATCTTTTCTCCTTCAGGTATAAATCATTTGATGAAATACAACTGCAATTCTTCATTGAAACTGACTTACTCTTCTGTTCACTTTCGAGATTCCAACTCAGCATATTGAACCCCTAACCAGACTGAGGTACAGTTTGAATGTGAGGACTGCGCATACATTGTTTCAGTTTAAAAGTTTCACGATTTTTCAGAATTCAAGTCGTTTTCATAAAATTCCCCGACTTTTTACTAATTTCCCTGAACTGATAAAATTCCCAGTTCTCCAGATCTGTATATATCCTGAAGAAAGATTGCAATTCCGAGTGAAGATGAACTTGCTGAAATATTAAAAATCCTGACCAACAGCATGGTAAAAAATAAAATAAAAATAATGATAAAAATAAAAAAATAAAAGAAATTTTTTTAAAAAAAAACAAGATAACTCATTCATTCCATATTTAAACAGAAGTAAATCCCTAATTATTATCCCCTATAGACACCATCCTACAAGTTGTACCCTGCATTTGGACGGCAGGACTGATGAGTGAAAGTGTTGATGGGAATAATGTACTTAGCTCTATTTACTTATTTAATCTTATTGGGGTTGCACTCATCATCATAAATGAGACTGTATAACTGATATAGAAGGACTAGAGAAACTAAACAGAGATGAAACTTTGAAGGGGGAAGTTGATGCAATGAGAGAATGGAGAATGAATGAGAGAAAATATATTGTTCATTTGCAGTGCAGAACAATGTGTAACTAAAGATAGATACTTACATTTGATTCTTCTTTAGAGCTTGGCCTAAGACGTAAATATATTTGTATGGAATTTTGATCGTCTTCTTCTAGAACATTTTCTAAATTCTTACGCTCTATGTTGCTTAAATTAGGAACATCGTGCCAACCAGCAATGTTAAAAGTTGGATTTGGCTCATTAAATGATGCTTTTGCCATCTTGATCTGAAAAAAAAAACAAAGCAGACGATCACTGTGCTGTGCTGAGTAGGTCCACTGGGTAAGGACTAAAATTTGCATTTGGGGGAATGCAATTTCAAAAACCTTTTCACGCAAGTTAAAATTCTCCTTTAGGAGTGGATGCTTCCAACCTTTAGCCAGAAATTATTGGAATCTCTTGGCTTGTGCATGAAGCAGTTTTAGTTCATAGAGACCTCACAAGACTTCTTCATCCCCTACTGCTAGCCCCTTTTTTGATTTTACTCTACTGCGAGAAAGGAAAGAGGGGTGCATTGTTTAAAGTTTACTTTTCTGGTCAAGGATTGCCCCAGAGACCTTGGTACTTAACATGAAGTAGTTATAGTCACCAACAAGAGACACAACCATTATTGAAGGATCATTTGGTCTTTTAAGGGCTTTTTTTTATGCGCATCGCAGTGGAACACGGTGGATCGCGATGAACATCGGTATTTTTTTATTCCGTTCCTCAGCCAGCCGTGATCCAAGCGTTCCAAGTGGATCAGGGTGGAACGCTGGATCCCTCTTCCAAGGTGGCGCGAGCTCGCGATCCAATGTGATCCTAACCTAATGCAAGGAACTCACCGTCCCCAACAAATCAAAACAAAAATAACAAATCAAACCATATTCCAAGTTTGGATTTTCTTACAACTTGGAACACTTTGGATGAGTCTGAATCGCTCAGGATTCCAATCCAGTGCGCTCCACTACAATCCACCCTGTTCCGCAATAAAAAAAAGCCCTTTAATGATACAATGCTGCCTAACCATTACCCTCAGGGATCACATAACTAGGAAGCGAGTCAACAGATAGGTCTTACAGCAGGAGGAGGAAAGGAAATGGAAGGCTAGAATCAGGAAGGAGGAAGATGTATAGAAAAGAGAAAGGAAAGGAACGAATAAACCCAGATGAAGATAAAGAAGCGCAGAGAAAATCCATTATCACTAGCATACTCTGTGACAACCCGCTGAACCCATGCACTGCATTAAAAGCTTAGTGAGCTGCGTTTTGCTTTCCTATTTGTCACTCAAAGGTTAGAATGTAAGGATCAGTTAGTTCTGTGCCTCGATGGTACATCCTACACCTCGCCAATACTATACTTAAAATGTGATAATGCAAAGAAGAAAGGGAATTACAAAAAAACTTGGTTGATTCATCCATACTAACATTACTTACAAAACGAAAGCTTCCAACTAGTTCGTGATTCCTGACTGGTGGCTGCTTGTCATTCGGCAACTATAGATACATTAACGCACAGAATGAAGAAAAATGATATCATTCAAATAATGCAAAATCACTGAAAGCCGTAAATAAGAGAGCACTCCATTCCAAGAAGCAAGAAAATTTAAAATTTGAATCTGTCCAAAGTCCAGTAACCGTCATTCAGGGCTGCCGAACCAAACAAACGTGATGTGACGTGGTCGAACTGGCATACGATATATCGCATCGATTAGTGCGATTAACTGCGATATATCGCATGAGTTCGACCACGTCACTTGAGCCAGAAATCCGTCGGCTCCGGCTGCTGCTGCTACGCGCCTTCGATTCGCTGTGACCTGACGCGCTGGAACTCCCGCCCTGCCCCCCGAAATTGCAGGCCCATCGTGTTCTAGTCAAGTTTTAGCAAGAAGATTTAAAGATTTTAGAATTGTTTAGTATACAGCTATTACTACCTTTTACGCCCTTTCTAAAAAGTCCCTCGACATTTTCCTGTAAAGTCAACGGTTTTAAAAAAAAATGAGAAAAAAGGTCAGAGATATAGTAAGAATTTTTGCCACGGCCGTTTTAAAAACCCATATTTTCGGCCTCAGAAATTAATTACTTTTTCGATCATTTTTTGTAACGAATTGATAGTAAATTGTGTGGCCTTTCTTAGAAGTTACTTGACATTTCCTTCAAAATTGGACGGTTTACAAGAAAAATGAGAAAAAAGGTCTCTCATCATAAGAATTCTTGCCGCGGCTTTTCTTTAAAGCCCATATTTTTGGTCACAAGGATTTTTGGTTTTGTAATTTTTTTGTAAGGAACTAATAGTAAATTTTACGTTCTCTTTTTTAAAAGGTCCTTTGACATTTTTCATAAAAGTCAGCGGTTTAAGAGAAAAATGAGGGAAAAGGTCACTGATCATAAGAAGTTTTGCCTCGCCGTTTTTGAAATCCTTATTTTCGGACTCAGATATAGGTATTACTTTTTCGAAAATTTTGTGCGATGATCTGATACCAAATTTTATGGTCTTTCGTAAACGTTCTTAAACATTTTCCTCTAAAATTAAAGGAAAATGAGAAAAAAAGGTCACCGATTCCGATTGTAGGTAACAATTTTTACCGCGGCTTTTTTGAAAACCCATTTTTCGGTCACATTTCGGTCACATCGGTCGGAATTTTATTTTTTTAACGAATTTTTTGATACTGATGGATAGGAAATATCGCGCTCTATAAAATGAGTCTGTTTTATTCTCGTTTGAGTCGAAAACTTTTGGAGTTACAAGCGATAAATTAACAAGAAACACACGCGTTCCCCGGATAAGGCAGCGGCAGCGTAGTGGAGCCCAGAGTTGCTAAAAGAAATTTCACAAGAAATTTCTTGAAATTTCCTCATGAAATTTCTGCTTATAATCTTTCACAAAATTTCTTAACTCTGGTGGAGCCCCAAAATCCGGTCTACCTGGTAGACAAAGGTAGGGAAAGAAATGTGAAGGTCGCGCGGAGTCGCGGACAACGGTGGCGCCCGGCGGGGGGGGGGGGGGGGGGGGGGAGGGGGTGGAAAGGTGGAAAGGTGCTAAAAGGAAAAGAAGAAATTAATGATGAAAATATGAGCCAGGCGCTAAGAGATAGAAGAAAAGGAAATATGGCATGGCATCGTGCTAAGGCATAGGTAGGAACACGACACGTTCTCAGGGGCGAAGAAACATTTTTAGGGGAGGAGAAACTTTTTTACGCGTAGGGAAACTTTTTTTAGGGGTGACGAAGGATTTTCAGCGCGGCGTGAAAATTTTGTGCTCCACTGCTCCAATCCGCAGATAAAAATTTTCCCGTCCCTGATCGTGAAAATATCGAATATCTGGAGGAGAAATGAAAGAGGTGAAAAATCCTTCCCTCCGCCAAACGTTCGATATCGCGACTGCTCACAATCAGTGCGGACTGCTGCGGGCTGGTGCGGAGAAGGATCTTTCCGCAGTTGCCGCGCCACATAAAACTGCTTTCGATATATCGATTGAGCGGGGTGGAGAAACGTTTCTAGGAATAGAACCATTTTTACGCGGCGGAGGAGCCGAGAGGTAAAAATGGAACTAATCGATGCGATATATTTCAGTGGCGTGCGGTCCGGATAAGCAAGGCAAGAGCACGGCTTGCCCAGATATTTCAAAAGAAAGAAGAAAATTACACCTATTATATGTTTTAAATTTTAGCAAATATAATTAAATGAAAGGTGTTCAGTAAGTAAATTTCATTAAAAACAGAAAGAGAGGCCCGGGAGAGAGAACGAGAGCCAATTCGTCCTCCGCCTCCCCCCTGCGCCTGCGGGCAGCGCGCGGGCCTCATCTCCCAGTTCCCCAAGTCTTCCTTTTCTTCCCGCAGGTGCGTGTTGCGAAACTACGCAATTTATATGAAAAATAAATTTCAGCAAACCGATCAGTAAAAAAGAATACAAATGGCAGTTTAATGCGGCACAATTTTCATAAGAAAGTGCAGTGCATGGTTTTGTCACCTGCGTCACGGGCCCATCCAGGACCCGGGCCCCGGTACCAAGGACCTAGTATCCCTCCCCCCTTGTGGCGGGCCTGCGGCACAAATAGAATATAATTTGCCAGCGCCGCATCAAAAGTTCACATGGAAAACCTACAGTTAAAAAATATCCTGGCTTAAAATTGCTTCACTATACTTATGAGTGTGAAGTTGCTATTTTTGAAGAAGCGGGTTACTTTGTTCCTGCGAAAAATAGTTTTTCATAACCCGCCATACAATGCTCTGGTTTCTAGCCATCATCATTTTTAAATTTTGAAGATTTGACTGGAATGATTTCCCCTTTCTCTCAGTTTCACAAAAACCGACAGGAGCCGAGATAGCATTTTAGGCCACGGCCGCCATCTTGGGTTTACGAATTTTGGAAATTTGACTAGAAATTTGAGTTTTCCGTCGAAAAATACACCGCGATACCGAGTTTCACCGAACTCGAACGAACAGAAACTGAGATAGCATACCTATTAGGCCACGTCCGCCATCTTGGAATTGAAAATTTTCAAAAATTGACTAAAAATTCGAGTTTCCCGTCGAAAAATACTCTCAGACACCGAGTTTCAGAAAAATCCATCGAACAGGAGCCGACATAGCATTTTAGACTACGTCCGCCATCTTGGATTTGAGAATTTTTAAAACTTGACTAAAAATTCGAGTTTCCTGTCGAAAAGTACCCCTGCTCCCGCGGTTCACAAATCTCTATAACGAACAGAAACCGAGATAGAATTTTAGGCCACATCCAACATCTTGGAGTTGAGAATTTTAGAAAATTGACTAACAATTCGAGTTTCCCGTTGAAAAATACCATATAGTGCCGCGTCTCACAAGACTCGAACAAACAGAAATCGAGATAGCATTTTAGCCCACGTCCGCCATCTTGGATTTGAGAATTTTAAAAAATTGACTAAAAATTCGAGTTTCCCGTCGAAAAGTACCTTCTTACACCGAATTTCAGAAAAATCCATCGAACAGGAGCCGAGATAGCATTTTAAGCCACTTTAGTCATTATTCGGATTTTCGAATTTTGAATTTTGATTTAAAACGCGTGATACCCAAAATCGAAGGTCAGATTCGGATTCCTCGTTAAAAATCGATGGAATTTCATGTATCATACCCGAGCATAGCGTGAAGGAAAGAGACGTAACGTAGACATACTGATTCGAGCATATGAATGCAACGTGGCAACATGGGTAGTGCTCATGGTGCTCAGTGGGTCAGCGGAGGAGGGAGAATAAGATTTTATCGCAAGGAATTCCTCGGGACGAAACCGAACGCTTAAAGCGCCGGCCGGCGCCTCCCCGTTCGGTTGCATCTCGGGCGACCGGCGCACACTGTGGTATTTGACCGAAAAACCTGGCCAAAACCTCAATTTTAAAATTTTTTTTAGTGGAAAACCAATGTGATATTCGAAATCTACACTGTTTTTTACCCTGGTAGACATGTATGTACCATTTTTCGAGTGGCTCAATTTCCCGCGAAGAGACCACGAAGTTACCTATTTCTCAGCGATTATTTTGACATGTTTCGGCGCGCTACTCGTCGATCAGTTTACTTCAACTGTGCGATCATAGGAGGGAAGTTCGGCGATATGAAACATATTCTTAGGGGTATATTCTACACAACTAACCACAGTATTTTCGAAATTTCTTTTTTTAGTGATTTTCACAGGAGGTTGAACAGTGATGTAAAAGTAAACGTTTTTTTCGAAATTCAGAGGTCGATATCTTTTTTCTCTCAACTGTTCTCAAGCAGTTTGAGGCGGGATGTTATAGTCCGAAGTGGGTATTTTCAGGATTCAAGGTTGACAGACTGAGGAAAACTGAGGAAATTGAAATTTTTGACTTTAAAGATGGACTTTTGAGCGATTTTCACAAAAATGAATGGGAAAAATTATGTCGATATGACGACTGAAATTGTATTTTTCCAACAGATCTGACCCATTTAGTACCAATTGGGTGATGTTTGGTCACCCAACCTGTTTTTTTGGCCCCTACGCCCTCGAAAGAGGGATTTAAAAAAATAATTTGAAAGCGGATGGGAGGGTCACTTTAAAGTCTTGCAAAAAAGTTTAATCCGTTATCTAACAATCTCTTCGTGCATTATCCTTGAGTATACACATATTTATGCCATGATTATTACTTTGACGGACAAATTTGAGTCCATGCGGCCCCGGGGATGGGGCTTTAAAAGTGGCCCTCTGGCACTTTGAAATTACGCTGTGAGGCACATTTGAAGCCTCGTAAAAGTGAGATGTGTGGTTTTCAAAACAAATTTTTTAGTGAAGTGCCTCACTTTGAGATGTGGGACCATGGGTTAGGAAGGAACCCATCAATATGAATCTTTTTCACAGATGCTTTCTGTCCTTACAATGGTTCTTATTATGATAAAACTCATTTTCATCTTATAATTTATCCTCAAATCATCATATGGAGGTCCCGACACTTTCATATTAGGACTAATTTTGATTCAAAACTGTCAAAAATCTAATATCTAGAATGATTCATATTAATGTTTTGAGAAATGTACAATTACTCCTCAATGCGAGAGATCGGCTGTTTTGTCAAAAATTTTGAAGTGACTTACGCTGTTTTTAAAAAAAACTATTGATGAGGTAATAGAAAGTCCTTATTTCGAAAAGTAGACCATAGGTGAAGGAGAA